TTCAGGCTCAGTTCGGCGAGGGAAGGGTTATTTTGAACTTTCGCTATTTCACAGGTCCAGGTTTTCAAAGCAAGGATGTCGAGTTACCATGTAAAACATGCCATGTCCTGTAGGCTAATGTAACAGCTTTCTAGATGGCGCGACACGTCGATGGGAAAAATCAACAGTGCACAATGCCCCCCCCACTGTCGCCGAACTGCGCCTTTTCATGCAATATAGTACTTTTCAACAACTGATATCCACTTTAGCGTCCAAACGAACATAGCTAGCTCGTACAATAAGGTTAGAAAGTTGGAGGGTAGAGATCAGAGTGCAGTTCAAGAAAGGAAGCTGAAAGAGCTGGAAGGGAAGCGGCGAGACTAAGTCGTGAGGTATGAAGCGCGAAAAGACCACCTTGGGGTAAACAGGGCACGTCATACCGCTGGAGAACAACTTTGCAAAATGCGACCCTCGGCCACACGCCTCTCAGGTTTTCCTCTTCTGCTACGACCCCCATCCCCATCCTACCTACCACCTTTCCGAATCTCCCCACCCACCAACTTTCTCGCACTTCTCCTGAGGCATTCCTAATATTTCCCCAAAAAAAACTCGCCACAGAGCGGGAAAGGAGGGAGTCGGAAGGGGGTATAGCCTCAATGAAATGGAAAAACAACAAAGAAAAGCCGACAACTGACAGAAAAGTTTTCTCGAAAATAAACACGACTTCCCCCCTCTACCGACCAGGTAAGATCCCCGCTGGGACCCCCTACATCCGACGTGGGGTGAGCAAGATGCTAAAAATACATTGCACGCACTAAAATGTTCTGGAAGTGAAGGTGCTGCAGTATGTCAGCTAGGTAAAATAACTCTCAGCTGGATTGCGCGTCGCCCAGTGGGTCACCTGCATCGCACTCGGTTGGCCCCACTGCATTTGCCCTGTGAGTGACTTTGATAGAGGAACTGACACTATCTTGGTGAGAGGGTCTGGACGAGCAAAAGTAGTTGCAGCGCTGCGGACGTCACGACTCCTTTCAATACAAAGTGGAAACTAGTGGGGAAAAGCAGCTAATTCACAATACTCGTCACATAAGCTCGACAAAGCATTCATGCTGCAACGACGTGGTGGCTCCAAGCATCGCGCGCGCGCCGGCGTCCGCACCACGACCCATTTGGCTTCACATAGAGGCACTAGCAGTCGACTGCGTCATCGCAATGTGAATGCAAGCACGTCTTACCGCGCTCATAAACATGACAACAAATGATAAACGTGGAATCAACTCACAGTTATAAAGTTGATAAAGTACGAGTTGAACTCAGAAATGCCGCCTCGCATTTCGTGCGGAATCTGTGGTAGCAGATCTTCAAGTGCTTTTTTCAAATATGTAACCTAAAATAAGATGTTGGGTAATTGTTAGAAGAATAAAAAACCTCGGTAATCAATGAAATTACCTTCATAGCCGTATCATTGTCCATTAAAGGAATAGTGAAGCAGTTCATATATACCACGTCACGATTCAATGCTTGAATGGCCTGAAAAAGGCTATATTAATGGACTTATTCGAAGAACTTTGATAAAAAATACTTTTATTCGATGATTGCTAAAATACACCTACGGAATAAAATAATTATTATTTTGACCTGTATTCGAGAAATAAACCATCAAACGTTGTGAAAAGTTAATAACGCCCTGGGGCATCTCAAACGAAGTGGAATTGAAAAAAAAGCCTCACACGTACATGAGTTCTCATTATCTGCTGCTGTGCTTGCTGCAACAAACCCATTTGATCAGCTCCAAATCCTCCTCCCGGACCACCCATCATCATTCCTCCTCGACCAAACGTGTTTATGTTCTACAATAAAACCGTAAAAATGAATATGAAGCAAAATGAATTTTGTTATTCAATGACGCTCTCGCTTCCCTTCATTTTTGTACCTTTTTCACAGCCGTTGCGTATTTGCTCTGTGAGACAAGAATGGCCTTGGTTACTCCCCCTCACACAGCTTAGGCAGTGTTCAGACTTCGCGATGACGTGCTAACATTGCAACGGTGGGCCAGTGCATAAGCGGAAACGCACCGTAGATGGCTATCGATCGGTGCGGGCTGCTTGTATTCTGAGAGAGTATAGAATAATAGGAGAATATGCGTTGCCTGACCACACATTCTAGTCCCTTCAATTCTTCTATACTCTCCTAGGACACACAGCGCCGATCACTGCCCGTCTACGGATGCATATCCGCTTATAGCGCTCGGGCGCCACTACAATGGTAGCGCGTCGACGCGCGTTACAGCGCACCGACGCACGTCGCAGCGAAGTCTTAACGTCGCCACAGCGCGAAAATGGTCTTCAGCGTGCCGTGACATCACCATCCCCTCCGACCAACGGTCGATGGGCCATGAAGACCACCAACATAAGAAAGCTTGTTGTCGATTCTGCATGCGCGCCACCCAAAGAGGCCATCTAGCCTTCTTGATATCCCACGGGGATGAGATATAGTTAACGACTGATGATCGAATGGTACAAAATCCCCCTGAAGCTGCCAAGCAATTTTGCCATGAATTGGTCAAAAGAAGTGCTATGGTGCAACTTCACCAATCGGTGCGATTGAACACCCCTCCTCCCATCGAATACACTAGTGTGATGTGTAAAGAATAAATCCATGGTTTGAAATTCAGCGCCAAAACTCTGGGAAACACGAATTCAGCAGGAGCCGTACATTCCTCAACACCCACCTTATCGCGCTCATAGTCATCCCATGCTTCTTTTAGTTCCTCCTCCGAAAGCTTTTCCTCTTCAATATGTGCAAACAGTGTATCGTGCTGGAAGTAGTCAACAACCGCATCCTTCTTCGACAGTAAAATCTCAGCCAAAAGGCGATCCTTAATCAGTAAATCATCATTATAGTCAGACAAAAGTACTCCAATCAAACGACTACGATCGAAACGCTTCATGCCTTTGGTGGAGCAAAACTTGGTCGAACATCTTCATTCATCATTCGGATTTAACTCTTTGGGATCAAACCCTTAAAATTTATTGTTTACGGTACCATATTGGAAATACTGGTCGTCCACAGTTGCAATTGCAAACTGTTACAAATCTGAGGCCAATGGCCCTCTTAAAAACCTCCTCACACCGTTGCATACTCTTCACTTTCAGGGGAATGTGAAAATTGATCGCCATGAAAAAGCTGCTCATCTGCAGGGCGAAAAGGACCAGGGGCTAACCCCGGCCTAAAATGCTGATGACAAATAAGTAAACTATGAAACGTTTCTCAAACAAGACTACGGTGGGAGCGAGCTTGTCCACTTCTTACAACCCCTACATTACAGGCCATTAAAACAAGCAGCTTGGAATTTTAAAAATTTCCATTCTATCAATAATATTTTCACGCACTTCCTCTAGAAAAGCTAGTTTTCACCCCTAGCTTGTGATAAAAAGGCAAACAACACAAAGTGCCCTACCAGTGCGGCAGATTCGCCATTCCTCTTTCAGGACCCATGATTATTTCCTACCCAAAAACACTTACAAATAAAGCTCCTCAAGATCGTGGCCATCATAATGTCGTTGAATTTGAGCTTCATCGACAACCCTCATCGAAGTGGACTCCTTTGTTACCTGACGCTTATAAATTCGCTCCTCCATTGTACCCTGAAACTCACTCAGGGATAAACTAAAACTTAGAAAGGCAAGAACCAATTTACTCACTTGAGCAATAAAGCGATAAATATACACCGGCTTCGTTTGACCAAATCGATAAACACGGAAAAGCGATTGAGTGTCATGGGAAGGATTCCAGCACGCATCAAATATTATGACACGGTTAGCAGCTACCATATTGGTGCCGAGAGAGCCAGCACGCGTAGAAATCAACATCAGCCTGAAATACATTGAAAATAGGAATGAAAGAGACGTTCTCAAAACTACGCAAAACAGAACTCATTCAGGGTTTCCAACGTTATGACGGTCCTTTGTATATGGAGAATGGGTCCACAGGTGCAGTAGCGGGCCACTTTCTCCGGTCAAAAGTGCGTGGGATCAGGGCTGGAGGGTAGCGATACTTGGGTGCCATCTTCAGTCCGCCCTCGTGACAGCACGACACACGCTCAACCATTGCCAAACGCCTGTCTCGCCCTCTCACTTCTGATTGTTCTCTTTCACTGGCTCAGCGTTTGGCGCAAGATTC